CCCCCCCATCCTCTTATTATTCTTCCACCTCTTCCTCCCTCTTGTGTGTCCTTTACTTGGACCACATTAACTTTTTTCAGCTTGAATGTAAGGTTCCGTCGGAAAAAGTCACTCATGTCTTCTATTTTGTTTTTGCCAGGAGGAGATCGGTATGTGCCGGGCAGAGACGACATGGACACATCCGGAGCCACACCAGCCGGGTCTGATCCTTTCACTGGTGGTGGTAGATATGTACCAGGTATATTAAGGTTATATGGAACAACTAATGCAAACTTTACATTGTTTATTTATGTGTCATACTCTCATGGAATCAGGGGCTCATCAATTTTTGGGCATGTGGTTATAGGTATCATTTTAAAGCTTTTTCATCTGTCTGTCTGTCAATGAAAAAATGCTGGTCTATCTTGAATAGAACATCGCCTCAGAACTATTTTGTCCAAACAGCACTTAACTGTAAACTGCGCTTTGAACAAAATAGTTTTAAGGTGAAGAGAAGTCGAGATACTTGTGATTGAAGGAGGTGGGGGTCATCTGGTTTCAGAGAAAAAAATTGGTGAGAAAATGGCCCACAAAGTTTTGTCTTGGTCTTCAAGCAACATTTTTTCGGGGTAAAATCCACACAGAAATGTGTTATTAAATGGACATCAAAGGTGTTGAGCTGAAAAACTAAAGTTAGCTAAAAATTGTAGAAGAGGTGGAAAAAAGGCTGATATTTTTTCTTTTTATTGATTTTGACAAGCGCCTGATTTCACCACCCTGCAACACATATTTGCCTGTGACATGGTCTACAACTAAGAGTTATTTTCAGTAGGGTGTGACCTCTGACATGACTATGGTTAGGGGGCTTTGAAGATTATAGGTGGGGGAAATGAAGACGAATGGTAAACATACATAATTACGCAATCTTAGAAAAGATCTGAAAACCATTTGATAGCAGTTGGACAGTCCCATTTAGAAAAAAAAATTCTAGAGGCAAAGAGGGACGTGGTCATTTGCACAGGTGGTTGTCTAAGATAGTTGGCTGATCTTTAGAGCAGGTTCGACTGTACCGTACCATGTGTACACATTCTTTGCATCTGTGGCACTATTCTTTCTCTCTTTCTTCTTTTTCTCCTCCTCCTCCTATTTTTTTTCTTCTTGTTCTTGTTCTTCTTGTTCTTGTTCTTGTTCTTGTTCTTCTTTTTCTTCTTCTTCTTCTTCTTCTTCTTCTTCTTCTCCTCCTCCTCCTTCTCCTCCTCCTCCTCCTCCTCCTCCTCCTCCTCCTCCTCCTCCTCCTCCTCCTCCTCCTCCTCCTCCTCCTCCTCCTCCTCCTCCTTTTTCTTCCTTTCTCTTCTTCTTCTTCCTCCTCCTCCTCCTCCTCCTTTACTTTGCAAACTGAAGTTGTGTCATCTGTGGTTTTGATGAACCTTTCTCTTCTCTGTGCAGGTGAAGAGAGCACTGGATCTGGTAACACTCACTTCCCCATCAAGACTTGCCTGTTCTTTGACACTGCCAGTCCCATTGAACAAATCTTAGGTGGGTTTTTGTTTCTTTGTGTTGTGTTTTTCCCTTTCACATATGTGCTTGGCCCTTTAGCTATTCCAGTCCTTTTTCTTATTTTTGTTTGCCCCTGTTAGTTAAGGACAGAATAGTAGTTGTTTGCTGTTTTTTATTTCTCTTAAATCTCTTTACCTGCCTACTGAAGCTAGCATGGTCTATACATGGTCTATGTTAAGTCTTTCTGTTCCTTGAATCAGTTTATTGTTAATGCCTTTACATTATAGAAGAGAAAGACTTAAGTTTGTGATAATGTTGATGTTTGGTTTGTTCTTTCATTGTGTCCTTGCTTTGTACAGGGAAGCTGAAAGAGTTCAACAAGTCTGTTGATGACAACTTGCATGTGCCTGAGGAGTCTCTGGATGAACTGGGCAGTTTGCTCACTGGACATCCGCGTGGGGACAGCATCAAGACATTAGACCAGCTCATTACGTGGCCTCATGGTGAGTTGGTCCTGCTCTTGTCTTTTTATGTCCCAAAGCACAATCCCTGACCTGTGAGAGCACCACACTGTGCGACATGCTTTGTTTCATTTTGATGGTGATAAGCTCGAACTGGGTAACGAGTTTTAAAAACTTTATTGAATGAGTGAAGACACAAAATGTAGACTATAATACTTTAATACTATATGTATACATAGGGGCACATTCCTCTACATTCCCCAGTGGGTTGACAGATGTCTTTGACATGGGGTTGGCTCTTTCTTTTTGCATGCAGGAGATGTGAATTTATTTCTCGCTTTGAAAAATCATTTAAAATAAGTATCATAACCTTTTGGCTGGGATATTGTATCCCATTCATTTGTGGTTCACCCTGACAGGCAGGGTTAAAACTGCCCAGTTCCTAAATGATCTGAATTGTTGTTGTCAAACATTTATAGTTGTTCAGTTTATAGGTTGCTTACAAATCAGTTGCTAGATGTAAGACTCATATAACGGCCGTTCTGCAATTCATCATTTGTCTAAATTTTGCACCCAGTCATCAAAATGCAGAACTTTCTTTTTCATGTCAAATTCATGGGCAGGGCACATAGACATTGGGTTACATATGTTTATAAGCCTTATACAAAGCATTATTCTGAACCACCTTTCTATTTATCTCTTACAGAAGTGGTGTTCCCCGCCTTGGACATTCTACGCATGGCCATTAAGGAGCACGAGGTCTGCCGCCTTTTCTGTAGCCGCCCCAGTGTCATCGACCTTATGTGCCAGCACGCCTCACAGGGCAACAACAACGCCTGCCGCATGCTCTCCTTGCGCACCCTGACCAACCTCTTCCGCCACCCTGAGGGTACCGAGCTCAATATAAGCCGCATCGACTCGGTCCTCCAAGTTGCAATCAACGGAAGGGACATGACCACCAAGAAAGGGCAGATCGCTGTGGCCACTCTAATCCTCAACTTCTGTGTCAAACTGGCAGCTTCAGATGACCTAGAGAACAAGTCCAAATGTTTGCAGGCAGCTGGTGAGGTGCTAGGCTCCAATTTTGACCCGGAGGCTGTATATCGCCTTCTGGTCGGGGTTGGAACCCTGGTGGGTCAGGATGATGGCTGCAAGGCACTGGCCCAGTCTATCGACCTGCCTGAGCTGATTGCAAAACTAAACACGTCAGAATCCGGCAAGTTGACGGAATGCTCCAAATTGGTGTCAAGCTCGTTCAACAGTTGATCTTTTCCCATTTTTTCACTTTAGAAGTTTTTGTTTTGAGGTTTAGTCGGAACTAACCACTATGTGGTAGATCTCTCTGCTGTAGGTAGTCTTGCAAAAAGTTTCCTTTTCCAGGTTGTTTTTTTTTTAAGTTTACAAAAATATAAGCAATATTTCTTTGCAAATTTGTTTTCAAGCCAATTGGGAAATATTTAATCAAAGAGTATAGTGGCTCCCTGATAGTGTTTTTCCAATGTTAAACTTTAGTCCAGCGTAACCCTTTTGCATTGCGCCTTACCTGTCAAGGGTTCTCCCTCTGTAAGTAATGCTGTGTGCTCAAACTTCCCAGAAAAGATATTATTTTAGGGTAAATTGAAAAGTTAATAAAAAAAAAAAAATCAAACAGTTGCTGACAGATTGATTTATACTTTGGTCAATTATAGCATGTCTATTTGTGACAGTAGACTCTTTGCAAAAAGGTTAGCTTTATAAGAAACATGCTCATGAGTCTAAAACCCCAAAAGGTAAATCTATCAACATATAAAGCAGTAAAAGACTATTAATGCACTGTTTGTCATTTACGACGAGTGAGAAGCAGAAGAATGATAAAGAAAGAAGACCTGTTGTTTGTCCACTGAATTCTTCAGTCTGGACTTACTATTTACTTTAGAGCAGCGTTGCCACCTTGCAACGTGCATGCAGATACATAGCATTGTGCTGATGACTGCACACAAGATCCGTGTGGCGTGACGTAATAGGTGGTGAGAATGGCCACAAATGTAGTGTGGGGTGTTGTTGGAAAAGATTTATAAATTGGAGGGAGATCAATCGAGGGAGTAGGACTTAGGTTGAAGTTGTAAATCCTACAGTGAACTAGGCATGGTGTTTTTTACAATTCTTTGCTCTTGGGAACAGAATGTTGCAGAATTGGTCTATTTTGAATTGCGTTCTGTTCTGCATCTGGTTTCCAGGAAGCGAGTTTTTACAGAAGCGAAAATTTGTAATTTTGATAGTATAAGTTGATACGGCTGACATTTTCCTATGATAAAATACATTGGGCTTTTGTTGTTTGGATATAATCTCTGGCTACCAGCACGGATGATTGTTTTGAATGTGTGATTTCTTTTGTTGGTGTGGTCAGATTTACACTGTAGAGGACCTGATGAAGGAAAATGACATGCTTAAGTGTGTTTTTTCCCCCCTTAGTCTCTTTATATCAGTATGGTTGACTTGTTGATTTGATTCTTTGTTGTCTTTTTTTGTTGTTCTGTGTTGAAGGAGTAAATAGGAGTGTCTGAAGTATTGATAAATTCTTTTTTTTAAAAAGGACTTTTTACACCCATTTTCAGTAGGATGTTCCGTTTGTTTGTGTGAGGTCACATAATCTTTATTAAATTTATTCATCTTTTTGTTGAGGGAATAAATTGAAAGGACTTCCCCCTTCCCCCTTTCTCCTTTTCAAAAACCATGTGAGAGACTTTGGCTGTGGTGAAAGATTATTTAAAACAGAACTTTTATTTGTCATTTTTCTTTTGTTTTCTGTGCATGACATTTGTTTTCAAACCTGACAGTCCCTTAGTGTTCGTTTTCCAACAAGTTTGCATTTCCGCAATCTGTGTCCATCCGTCTTTGTCTTAGCACAAAATGACTGCGCCTTGTCAACATGCAATTAGTTCTACCCAAAGCAATTTATTTCTCATTTCTCGCATTTTCATCGGCTGTTGTTCTTTTTTGAGTAATTTCTCATGATGATCACGTTTTTGGAGGCTGGCGTGGTATGGTGTGGTATGGATAGTCATAGTATTTTCAATGTGTTTGCGAGCTTAAAGAAATGATTATCGTCTCCTCAGTGTTTGGTGTGGTGTAAGACTACTCTTTTTGGTTTGTAATGTTTATTTAGAAAAGAAAAAAAGCTGGATGTCAGCATTGTCTTGTTTCTTTTGTTTTTCTTTCTTTCTTGTTTATAATGTGTGTACTCCACCACAGCAATACTTTGCAGTTTTATTTCTGTTGGTATTATGCTAGGCTATGGTTTGGATGACCTTGGTTTGAACCCCTGATTAGAGCATTCTTGAGCTTGAATTGTTTTGTGAGTCTTTATGGCTCTTCTTCCGCTTTGCGCAGCCCTATTGGAGATGATGGATGTTTGAGTTAAAGTCGGGAGGTCCTGCCTTTTAAACAACTTTACAATATTGAAAGGGGAGTTACGCGCCTTTCGTATTATGCAATACTTTTGCTCTGCCCTAATGAATAGTGGAAACATTGTTATGATGTATTTCTGTTATTTAGAAAATTGTGATTCCGCGCTGTTCGGAAGGGAATTATACAAACAAAAAACAAAAAGGGAGTCAGGATAAAAAAAAAAGACAGAAAAAGATGTAGCCACACTAAAATACTTGATAGAGAGAATAGCATCTTTTTTCTCGGTACCTATAAAAAGTTGTAACAGTTGCTTCCCTCTTTTCCTTCGGGCTCTCTCTTGTGCGAACTTGTGAGTTGAAGATTGTTACAGTTTATTTTTAATTTCTTTCATATTGTGCCATCACATCGTATGTTTATCTCATGGGTACCTTAAGAAGAGAATACTAAAGTGGTGATCTTCAGTTACATTCACAGGTATAAAAGCCATCAGTCACAGTTGAATGTGTTTACTTTGGAGCCTGATGTGTGCGCTCATTGTATGTTTTTCTCAGGTCATGTTTGTTTATGAGAAGGTTTAAATCTTTTATAGTGAGTATGGTCTAAAATTGACGTAAGGTTTTATATTATATGTACAATCATCAGTCAAGCTTAAAGTCTTGTCCATATAATATACAGTGGTCTATGTGTAAAATGAGCGGTAGTAAATGATATTTAGGTATGGAGATCCCATTTTTTGGGGTATCCCTTTAATACATGTATGGAAAAAAGATGGAGAACTGATGAGGCATTTCTTTCTTTTTGCTCATTTTTTCCCCCAAACTCTTTTGTTTTATCCTGAGCATAGATGGCTGTATACTGCCTTGCCTGTTTTTCAGATGGATGAATTGAGATGTTCACTGTTGATTAGTATTTTGCCAAGTGTTTCTATTGACTGGATATTGCTTCCCTGGTGCTTTCTGTGGTCTTGGT